CCTCGACCTGCTGGGCTCCGGCGATCCTTCCGCCTCATCCTTCCCAGTAGCCGGAATTACAGGCATGTGCTACCACGCCCGGTTGATTTTTTGATTTATTGTAGAGATGAGGTCTTGCTGCCCAGGCGGGTCTCGAACCCGCGGGCTCAAGCAATCCACTCACCTCAGCCTCCCAAAGGCGCGGGATTACAGGCTGAGCCACCGAGCCCGGCCTATGTAGGATTTTATCCTGTGAGGAGAAAGAGGGAACAGACTAAAATAAATGGTTTTAGGGGAAAATTGAAGGAGTTTCCTATCACATAATGGGCATTTATCTTGAAAGACTGGATTATGAGATAATGGTCTATAAATTTAGAGAAAGGCAAAGGAGAAGAGGAACAGTAGAGCAAACAGATCTTAAAATTAAGGCGTGGGTTATCTCCTTAGTATTCACTTCTGTTCCATAGTACCATGACATAATTTTATCTCCATTTGATTTGGTTTTTTTGCATATTTCTGCTACACACAAAGTGGTTTAAGAATAAGTAATTTAATGTTAAGAAAATGTAAAACTTTATTTCAGAATCTCAATTCTACAATCAAAGGGACTCAGCAGTTGGTTGCAGTTTTTTCACTGAAAGCTCTAATTGATGAAATGCTTCTTAAAAGTTGGGTGGAATCTAGCACTGAGGTTGAACCGAAAAGCAGGTTGCTGTATTTGAGGAAATGACATTCAGCATATTTGATATTTTGTACCTGTCCCTGCTTGCATTCTTCCTTCCCAGTGCCTACTTCCCTCTGCCTTCTGCTGTTTCCTCCCTGTTCTTTCCCACCTCCCAATCGACTGTGCCCTTTTCTTGCTCAGTGCCTTCATGAAATTTGCCACAAACCTAAATTATCTAACTGCTTTTAGGAATGACTACATAAACACAATTCATTTCAAAGTTGTGAATTAAACGTGGCTAAAAGTCAGTTACAAATATTGGGACACTCTCTAAAATATGACAATAGGGAATATAAGTAGTCTAACAAGACAGTTAATATATATTGAATGTAAAACTAACACTACATTTACTTTTCCAAAGAACTATGTATGCCATTTACATTAAAACTTTTTCAATATATACATGGCTACTAATATTTACTTAGCATGCTTAGCTTAATAAAGTCAACAAATATTAATATTAAATGTGGTAAAATGAAATGTGCATATATCAACAAAACTTATAGCCTTAGCCAGTCTGTGAATAATTTTTGGGGTCAAATAACTATAAATACTGTAGCTTACTGAATAAATGGTTCAAACGTATACTCTGGATTCCAGATACTTAGGAGCCCAAGAAAAGTACAACTACCCTATGTTAGGTCTTTGGGCTGAGATTAAGTGAATAAGTCATCTATGAAGATCGAATTGTAGATATGTGATGTTTGAGAAGACAAAAGCCTTGCTCCAGTAACTGAACAGCTATTAGTCTTCTGTTCTCTTTTGCCCATTTATGAAATGACCTCTGGGTAAACTCTGAATTTTGGTGTAAGCCATATGCTTGTGAAAAACTCCCTTAAACTACTCCTTTGTGAATCAACAACTGAGGTAAAAAACCAAACAAACAAAAGTATTATCTTTCCGTGGCCTTTTATTCACTCAATAAAGATGGCCAAAATTAAAACTGGAGAAAAGGAGGTCAGTGAGTAGAAAACCAGACTCCTGGATATTTGAAAAACCAAGTCGGCAATGATGACTCCCCTCCCTCCCAGAAGTAGTCTCTGTATTACATAATATCTGTTTGTTTATTTTTAACTTTTGGAACTAAATGAATGTCACATATATATATTTTTAATTTCCAATATCAACCCAATGAACTTCAGAACCATTCGGTGTTGGAATTTGGGAGTACTAACTAGGAAACTGCTTAGCCAGGTATGGTGGTGACACCTGTAGTCCGAGCCTCTGAGTGTGAGGCTGTAGTGATAGTGCCACTCCACTCTAGTTTGGGTGACTGAGTGAGATCTTGTCTCTTAAGGAAAAAAAATAATAAGTTGAGTCATAGGGTGTTGTTACCTCAGAAAAGAATGTAGAAGTTCCAGATCTATCAAGAATGGTATTTATTAGGCTAAAGTATTTACAATAACATTTTACGCCATAATTTGTAAGTATAGTCTTAATAATGTTAATTTTCATAAATGAGAAAAAAGTGGTATTAATTATACTATTTTCTAACATTAAAACCGTTATTCCTTTAAATAGCTCTCATTTCTTAAGTTAGTAACAAATATTTTATTTTATTTTATTTTATTTTGAGTTGGAGTTGAGAGGACAACAATAGATTTAGGTTAAGAGCATGCTATTGAGAGACCCAAGAAACCAAGAAACTTATTTGCTGTAAAAGTAGCATTTAGTTCACTATATTTCATATATCCCCACCTCATGTTTACTATATATTTTGTGTATTCCTACCTCATGTATTTTATGAAATCTTAGTACTTTAAATCCTACCTCAGACCCCGTAGAATTAGGCATATGTCGGGTTTTAAGCAGTGTTTGTATTTAGAATTCTTGGGTTAAGCATTGTCAGCCCCAAACTAGCAGGTTAACTTATGCTTTTACAACGGGATGTAAAGGATAAAGCGATAAGCCCCTTTCAAACATTCCTACAAGGTGGCAGCAGACTCAGAGGAGCCAGCTCCTCTCTAGGTGGGCTTTATCACCAGTTTTTATCCCAGTGATAATTTACACGCAGTGGCTATGTAAACCTGCAGGGAACAAAGGCTTTTATAAAAGTAACCGCCTTGCTATAATAAGCTTGCTATTATAAATTCCCAGAATTAGTATATGATTTTCTACCCCACATTCACTGTATGTGTTTGCAGCATTCATATTTAAAACTTTGTTAAGTTTGGCTTTTGTTGTCCCATAATGACTATGTTATGTTATGTAAATGTTAAGCAAACAAGCTTTCCTAAGCATACCTTGGGCTGGATCGGTAAACTAAAGGGCTAATGTAACCCTTTGTCTGCCGGCTCAGGTTACTTCATAAGCAGGGACTGTATGGACCTAACTTATCTAACATTCCACTCGACCTATTATGTGGGTTTCTGTCAATCACGGGCAGCACCCACCAATACCAAGTGTTCCCGTACCCATTAGGAGAAATTACCCAATCATGTAAAATCAAGTTTGGAGTTCTTTCCCCTCCCTCTGTAATTGTGCATAAAAACTTCTTGCCATTATGAATCGGGGCTCTGGTCCCTGAAGCTGCTGCTTCGGGCGTGAGCCCAGACTCGAGCCTGAATAAAGACCCTTGTGTGTTTGCATTGGAGCTGGCTGTTTGTGGTCTCTATCTCTCTCATTAGAGTCCCGGGTTCAACAGAGTCTCACTCTGTCGCCCAGACTGGAGTGCAGTGGCCGCTCCCGGCCACCGCAGCCTCGACCTGCTGGGCTCCGGTGATCCTTCCGCCTCAGACTTCCGAGTAGCCGGAATTACAGGCGCATGCTACCACGCCCGGCTGATTTTTTGATTTATTGTAGAGATGAGGTCTCGCCTGCCCAGGCGGGTCTTGAACCTGCGGGCTCAGGCAATCCACTCACCTCAGCCTCCCAAAGGCGCGAGATTACAGGCTGAGCCACCGAGCCCGGCTAGTAACAAATATTTTAATAAAGAATATACAGATGACAAATGTGAGGTTAACATAAATAAATCTATTTTTTATTTTTATTTTTTTTGAGTTGGTATCTCACTCAGTCGCCCAGGCTTGAGTGATGTGACATGCTCATGGCCACCCCAGCGTTGACCTGCTGGGCTCAGGGGATCCTTCTGCCTCAGTCTTCCAAGTAGCCAGAACTACAGGTGCGTGCTACCATGATGTGGACTCAGGCAATCCCCTCACCTTGGCCTCCCAAAGTGCTGGGATTCCAGGCTTGAGCCACCGCGTCCAGTCATAAAATTTTCAATTGAAATATAAGATTTAGTAAATATTTTCTTTCGCTCTCAGGGAAAAATGAATTTTAGCTTCCTCATATGAAGATCTATTATTTCATTAGTACAAGATGTAAATTGCTGTTATTCTTCAGTCTCTCCTGGTACCTGTTCATCCCTGGGAAAATCTCTTTCGTACTTCTTCTTGAGATTACTTAAAAATGTTCGTAAACTGTCTGGATCCAATTGAGAGTTTCGAGCAGTTTGAACAAGCCTAGTGGCTAGCTGGTACACAGCTCTCTGTCTTTCCATCTCAGGGGTACTCCTTTGGTTTTGCTGTTATTGAAAAAAAAAATCTATAAATTAAAATATGAATACTATAATCTTTACCTAAGTCTTACTTTGGCAATATTCTACTCCTTCCACAGAAGTAGAGAACTCAAGGGTTAACTCATTCCATTAGACAGTCAGTTTCATCCAACTAGCAGACTACAATCAGAAGAAAGAAAGAAATATAATTTGGGAGATTACAATTTCTCTTGAATATTTACTACTTTATGAAAGATTCTTATATTCTTGAAAATCACTTTTCAATGAAAAAAATTCTGCTAAGTAATTAGATTTCTCAATATAACACCACATTGTAATAGAAAATCCACCAGAGAAAAGTTCTTCAGACACTTTCTCATTAAAAAAAAAAAAATACGGGAAAATAGCACTGCTCATTGATATGCAGCAATCACACATTTAAACATGGCCCAAGAGTCTACTCTGCTATCTCCTACTTTTATTTCTCAACAGGTAAACTGGGAGATATAACAGGTCATCAGAAAATGCTTGCTTCTGGATGGAGCATATATACAGAAATTACTGGCATCTAGGAGAAAATACTGCCTGAGGGATAAGTTACATTTTAAAAATAAACACATAAATAGTATTTTGAAATTATGCCTCAATTCTTAATAAACTATACGTAAGAATAACAAAGAAATAATAGTTAAAACAAAAATGTGGAAGGCCTTTAGATATTTAATCCTTGAATAGAACTTCAGGATTGAGAATCTAGTGGAAAATTCTTTGCCTGAGCTAGATAGAGGAATCACATTTTCAATCTTGATTGTTTATGGTAAATCTTAACGAGTTTCCCAGACATACAATCCCTTCAACTCATTCTCAATACCAAGAAATTTCAGATATTTCTCTCCTTTTCACCATAGGAAAAATGAGTAAGACTATGAGGTAGAATAAGATCATCATATATTCATCCACCCATTTATTTGCTATATTTATCAGTCTATTATTTAAATAACAAACAGTGAAAATCGATTATCATCTACATTTCAGGCCTCAAAGCCTATGTTTCTCTCTCTATGGGAAGTGCAGTGGCTTATAATGACAAAAATGCATACCTGACAGGATAACAGAATTCAAGGAGCTTATAGACTTAAAAAAAAAAAAGTCTTGTTTGTAAGCAACTGATTATGGTAATTAGGAAAAGTTTCATTAAAAAGACACAAATATGTTCAGAGGGGAAACTCACTTCCAGTTCAGGTCAACAAAAGGTTCAGTAGGACGGAGTGTGTGGCACAAACTGTGATGAATGGAAGAAGAGGCTAGAAAGGAGGGCATCTGGGAGGAAACAGCTAGAGCAGGCACATGAGAGAGCATGAAGCACAAGCAGGCCAAAGTAACGAAATCACAAGGAATTCAACGTGGCAGAAATGCAGGTTACGTGAAACTGATGTGATGTGAGGTTGGTGTAACAGACAGAGGAAGATCATAAGGCAGAAGTTAACAGACTTCAGAATCAGCTAAAAAAAACTAGCTAAAAATTCAAATCCCTGAGCTACAGGAAACCCTTGAAAATCTAGGAGAGTACTCAGTATCTCGGGCAATTCTAATGTAGATAATCCTCAGATATACTCTGAAAAATAATGAAAGAAGAGACATTTTAACACTAGACTAAGGATTTCAACTTTTATTTGAGAAGAAATGACTGAGGCTGGGTACAGTGGCTTACACCTGCGATCTCAGTACGTGGAGAGACCAACGTGGGAGGACTGCTTGAGCCCAGGAGTTTGAGACCAAACCTGGGCAACATAGCAAGACCTTGTCTCTACAAAAAATGTTTAAAAAGCCGGGCACAGTGGCACGTGCCTGTAGTCCCAGCTACTCAGGAGGCTGACGTGGGGAGATCACTTGAGCCCAGGAGGTGGAGGCTGCAGTGAGCTGTGATAGTGCCATTCCACTCAAACCTGAGGGGCATAGCGAGACCCTGACTCAAAACAAATAAACAAAAAACCCACAAAACAAAACAGTATTTTAAAACAAAAAATAAATAAGTGACTGAAAGCTTTATCAGGAGACAATCTGGTAGGAGTGTGTAGGATAAACTGAAAAAGAGGGAGAGCTTACTATTTAGTCCTCATGAGAGGCGATTAAGAGGAAGGATGCATAGACGACTTTGGTGGGCCACTGAAGACTTCAAAGTGAAGAGATGAGAGATTTTTTTTAGAACATGTTAAATTTAACTTTGATCCTCAAACAAAGATTAATATATCAAAAAGGCCAGGTTTGGTGGCTTAGCCCATGCCTTCGGGTGAATGGATTGCCTGAGCCCGCGGGTTCGAGACCTCATCTCTACAATAAATCAAAAAGTAGCCGGGCGTGGTAGCACGAGCCTGTAGTTCCAGCTACTTGGAAGGCTGAGGCGGAAAGATCGCTGAAGCCCAGCAGGTCGAGGCTGCGGTGGCCGGAAGCGGCCACTGCACTCCAGTCTGGGCGACAGAGTGAGACCCCAACTCAAAAAAAAAAAAAAATATCAAAAAGTATGGAGAAAAAGATCTAGATTCAGAGTTGAACAGAAATGATAATGGAGGCTATGAGAAAGGATGAAATCACCAAAAGTGTAGACTAAAAAAAAGAAAAGAAACAAGTACAAAAAAACTAGAAACATCCATAGTTAGTGACCAAAATTTTAAAAAAGTACTAGCAAAAAGGAAAGGAGTAATCGAAGAGGGAGAAGGATGAAATCCAGGAGAGAACAAATCCACAGTAGCTAAGAGAGGAAAGAATTAAGAAAGAGATGAAGGTGGTGTCAAGTGCCACAAAGAGATCGTGGAAGATGAGAAGTCGGTGTTGAAAAGTTTCCGTAGTGTGATGAAAGACTCATTTGGCAAGTGGGGAGTGAAAGAAGCAAGTGGAGACTACCCGGAAGTCTTCAGTTAAAAAAAATGGGACAGCAGCTTGAGAAGTAGGGTAAAAAGGAAGAATTTACTGGGGAAAAACTAAGCATGCTCATAGAAAAGAAAAAAGTCATGAAGAAAAGACTGAAGATGCAAAAGCGAATAAAGGAAACGGAAAAGCAGCATCATAATGGAGATGAATGAAAGGCAGAAAAGCCAGGCGATCTCCTGCTTTGTGGCGAGTGGGATGACAGACGGGGAAGAGCAAAAACAGTCCAAATAAAACTGGGAAGGAGGGAAAGTTCAAGTACGCATCAAAACAACCTCAAGTTTGTTAAAAAAAAGGAGGCGGCTCCGGAAGAGAGAAAATATTTTAAAAGAAGCCATAGAGATGAATAAAAGAGAAGAAAATAAAAAAAGAAAATGATAGACATCACCCACACAGCACAGTGGAAGCAACCTGGCTTCCCCCGCCCCACAGAACCAGTATCCAGAGCCAGGATTATCACCAGCAACGTTTGAGAACTCAGACCGAGGCTGAGATGATTCCCCAGGGCCACAGAGAAAGCAAAAGTCTCCAGGCAGATAAAAAAGGAAACTAACTTCTCTATCTGCCACTCCCTCTTCCGAATCTGCTAGGCACCATGCATGGAAAATTCCCCCCAGCCTCATGGTTCCGATACTTCAGAGTCAGATCAAGGTGGAAAGCCAGCTTCCCCACTGTCTTGGGTTCCCTTGCAGGAACACCATTCCTGCTTCAAGCTACAAGTGCCCGGAAGGAGAAAAATCCCTGAGGGCAACTAGATACAAAGAGGGGAGGTGGAACCAGAAACACCAGCCAGCAAAGCTCTGCACTTTATTTCAGTCAAAGGAGACGCCCGTTCGAGTGAATGTTAGGCAGCACCACGCTACGGGAGGCACCCTCCACAGGTCTTCTGAGCAAAAACCCAGAGCCAGCCAAGGTGTCCACCGTTCCCTCTGAGACCCCACCCCCAACCTGGAAGGGCAGTGCCCCAAATGTTTACCAGAACGGAGGCAAATCTGGGCTTAAGGTGCCATCTAGTGTCGAGAATGAGGCGGTGATCTAGGACTAGGGGAACCAGGAAATTGCAAAGACTCTCTAAGCACACATACAAGACAGACGTACAAGACAAACATACATACAAACATACAAGACAGATAGTAAAGGCAGAAATAACAAAACTAATCTTTAAGAGTGAAGGCAACAAGAGTAAACAGGAGACCATGACCTCCTCCCAATGGACAAACCAGTGATTGACACCCATGAGATGATGATAATATGAGCTCTCAGATCAAGAAATCAAAACAGTAATTTTAAGAAAATTCAGCAAGCTCCAAGACAGCACAGAAAAGTAATTCAGAAAAATTATCATAGAAATTTAACAGAGACTGAAATAATAATTTAAAAAATCAAACAGAAGTCCTGGAACTGCGAAACACATTTGTTGAAATGAAAAATGCACTGGAGGCTCTCAATAACAAAACAGATCAAAAAGAAGAAAGAATGAGGGGGCTCAAGAACAGGCTATGAACAATATAGTCAGAGGAGAAAAAGAAAAGGAATGAGAAGAAACAAAGAAAGCCTGAACGAGAATGACCTCCTAAGAACAAATCTAAGAGTCACTGGTGCTCAAGAGTAGAAACCTTATTTAAAGAAATAATAACAGAAAACTTTCCAAACTTAGAGAAATATATAAATATACATATATAGGAGGCCACAGAACACTAGACATATTCAACTCAAGAGAACCCAAGGGAAATTCTCAAAGGTCAAAGGCAAAGGATCCTAAAAGCAGCAAGAGAAAACAAGGAAATAACATACAGAAGATCTCCAATTTGTTTGACAACAGATCTTTCAGCAAAAACCATATAGGTCAGGAGGAAACGGGACAATATATTCAAAGTGTTGAATAAAAATGACTTGGCAACTGAGAATATTGTGCCCAGCAAAACTTTCCTTCAAACGTGAAGAAGATAAACAAGTTTTTCCCAGGCAAGAAAAAGCTTAGGGACTTTGTCACTATTAGACCCATCTTATAAGAAATGCTAAAGAGAGCTCTCCAGTCTGAAAAATGCTAATGTGCAAAACAAAATTTTTTTGAACAGTTAAAACTCACTGATCCAAGTAAG